AACCGCTTCGGGATGCCGAACGAGGCAACGCTTCCACTCGGATGTGCTGCTTTGGACCCCAAAGCGTCTGAAGCTTCTCCGATTCTGAAGCTCTGTCCGAAGCCTTGCACAGCCCTAGTAGAGAGGGTACGCCAGAGAGGACTCGCTGAAATCAGTCTGCACCATTCTTTTGCAATATAGTATGGCAGGAAGAAGATTTAAAGCTATCGTGATGATGCTTTTTGTTGTACTCCTCTCTTCTTCCATGGTATCCAAAGCATTAATGGTGGAATAGGCCTGTTGTATACAGACTGCACCCAAGAAGGTACATTCCTTGAGGCAGGTGGTAGGTTGGATAGTGCCTACCCTCTCCAGGAACTCTGGTCTGAAATTAGCAACTGGAAGCAAAAGAAGAAGAGATGGCAAAAAAAGGGTAAGATGAAAAACAGAAAATGTCTTGATAAAAGGCATGGCCCAGATGAAAATTGTATTCTGCCCGTTAAGATAGAAATCTGAGTCAAGTGGATGGTCTAAGTAACTCCAGTTCTTTGAGTACTCATCAGGGAAAAAAAATCACAGAAGGTGGGCAGACGCCCCCAGAGATTCAGCCTCCAGATTGACAAATGAATTCTGACTTTAAAAGAGCAAATAATGCATTTCATGTGTGAGCAACATCTCCCCTTATCTTATTCCTTGCAGGCATGATTTTTTAGTAATCCATGCTGTACATGCATTTCTTTGTGTCTTTCTTAGCTAACAGAAGTGAGTCAAGAAAACCAGCTTTTCATCATGCATATGAACCCAGGAAATTCAGTTAAATTCCAGTGTTATCAGGATAAAAATTACTTTCTTCATGTAAATAAGGACTCAATTGATGTTTGCAAGTTTGAAGAGACAGAAGCAGATGCGGGGAAAGACTTTCATTTCAAGGTTGAATATGTGGAGAATGAGATACAAAATAGGAATAAACAATGTTAAGACCATGTAGGATTTATATCCTTAGCTTGTATAACTTTTTCTACATTCTTGTCTTATTCAAGCTTGATTTTGGTATTAAATAAGTACAGTGCCTCATTTGAGTACTGACTGGAGGGGTGGTTAGCTGTGTAGATAAATAATTGCTTGGTATATTGTTGTCTGGGGACTGTATTTTAAAGGAGCTGGGCTGGAAAGGGAAGAATACAAGATCAAACATCTGAAAAATGTGAGGAGGAAGAGAGAAAAATTTATATGTAAAGGTTAATTAGAATTCATTTCATATTTTGTAATATGGAACTCTTACACAAACTAATTTAACCCAAAGAAAAAATATTTGCTAGCATGTACACCTTATACCCACAATAACCAACATTAGGGAGGGTTTACGCAAGCATTTGGAGCTCTGAAAGGAACAAAGGAAGAGGGCTGTTAGATCAAGGCTATGCAGCAGACCTAGTCCATCTCCTTTACTCCCAAATTAATATATTTCCTCTTGTATGCAACTTCAGTGCCCTTTTATCTTTGCAGCCCTGCCTAAAATCCAGATATATTCCTTGAGAATCATACTGTATTTGCTAGGGGAGACAGAGATGTCAGACTGATAGAGTGTCACAAGAGGACATGTTCTCTCTGAACACTTGCCTAGACTGCTCTCATCTCTGGATCTTGCAGGGAAGCACAAAAGAGGAGGAAACCTTTGGTTCAGCTATGAGGAGAAACACAAAACAGTAACCTAACAAAAACAAAATATTCAAAATGACTAAATATAAAAAACTCAAGCTGCTTATGGTAGGCTGGCAGCAGGTGTAATGGGAAGTATGGCCCCTCTGCAACAGCATCTGTGAGCACAATGACGTTAAGTCTCTGCTCTTCACATGGCTCATGATGTTCCAAGCAGGCAAAGGAACAAACCAAAAATATAAACTGCTGCATCTGTGTATGGTGGGTGTGATTCTGGCATTGCCCTGCACTTACTCATTTACCTTGCCGTAAAGTGTGTGTAAAACAATTATTTTATTTAGCAGCATTTAAAATTATTTTTCCCTGGTGTAAATGATTTCACAAGAATACAGAGCGTCAGTGAATTTAGGCTTTACATATATAATACCAGGCACCTTGTCTGCAGGTCTGTGCCTGGAACAGTCCACAGGCTCCACAACACTTGTAATTCTCTAATGCAGACAAGACATCAAAGTTGTGTGATTCCTCAGCATCAGAAATGGAATTTGGTTTTCCCCCATGACCAAGTAGAGCACAACTGCTAAGCTAGTCCCTGTTGTATTTTTCAAATAGTGTGAATAACTAACTGACACATGAGTAGCTACTATATTGCCTGGTAGTGAATTAAACTAAATGGCGGCTTAATAATGTTTCATGATTATGCATTTATTTTGAGGGAATAGGAAAGAGAATAAATAAAGGCTCTAATTCAGTTTGAATATGGGAGTATTGCTTTCAAACAGATACTTTACATTGTCTGTCATTTTAGAGTCTGTTCTGCCACTGATTAATACTAGCAGTGTGATGCTCACTTGTATACAGAATGCTCCCTCCAGTGGTTAAATGGGTGAACATCTTACACGGTCCACTAAAGTCCATTAAAAGAGCCTCCTTAAAATCTGGTCCTCAGTGGGATTTGGTTCTGGGCCATAGTTAAAGCTTGGAGCATAATGTCATATGTAAAGACTGTAGGTAGCTTGAAATTGTATTGTTTGCATGAAGAGCCTTACATTCTGTAGTCTTAAAATATCTAACAGTCGAGTCTTTTTAAATATATCACTGCATGTTAAAGGATTTAAATATGGAAACCAGCATTGGTAGTTTGTGTTAAGTTTTAGATATTGAATTTAGATATAATAGTTTCATTTATTAATCTTCCAGAAAACAAAGGGTAACTTGCCAAGTCTATTAAGACTGACTTTGAAATACAAGTTCATGGAAAGCAAGTGAATAACATTCTGATCTAATCTATTCATGTAGAACTATAATGCAATGTTTTCAAAACCACTCAGTAATTCTGCATGTACAACCACAGAGACAAAAGGTTTGATATTCAGACAGGTTGAAGAAAAGCAAATGAAAAACTGACTGTATGGTCTCAAGTTAGTAGACACTTTTGATAATATGGAACCTTAAAATGCATTTTAGAAGTGTAGTGCATGCCACCAAAAGTGTAATATGAATTTTTGTGACTATTATAGATCTTTTTTGAAAATAAGACTATATTACAATATTTACTTTGCATGCTGTCATTGTAAACATCTAATATAAAGCTTTTAATCTAATTCAAATAAACATATATTTTTACTACATTGTGAATCTTATAAGACATGCTGACTGATGTTTGCTATGTGTTTTAAAATAATTTTACATAAGTAGAGACAAGAAAATTCTGTATAGTATTTTGGCCAAGCTCACAGTACTCTTTCTTGACAGAATAGAGCCAATGTAAATATTTTGCCATTTCAATCTTACAGAGTATGGCTTATAACCAAGAGCATGATGAAACAAAAAGGAAAAAAAGAAAGAAGTTTCTCAAACCAAGTTATATAACACCAAGTTACATAAGAAGTGAGTTGACCCCAATTATGTAAGAATAAGCACACAGTGGGACTCAAACCCATGCTCAAATTTCATGTGGGTAAGCGCTTCACTGAACTGTGACCTAAATTTGACTGCTGTTGGGAATAAAAAAATTCAAGAGCAAGTATGTTAAAACTTAAAAAAAATATATCCAGGATACTCCCAGTTTTACTTAAGGGATCTATTATGCACAAATGTTCTTTAGATTAGGCAAATGAGAAGACTCAGCTGCTCTTGTAGCGTGTTAGGTGCGCTTTTTGTTTTAAATGGAAGAGGCCAGTAGCATTCAAACTTCCACAATCAGATAACTTTGTATGAAAAATGAAATGGACTTTTCTCCACTATGAATATAAGATATAACAAAGAATGATAAAAGCTATTCATTCTATGAAGCTACCTATTCCATGAAGGTGTCCAGCTTCCCTAAAGAGAAGTGAATGTGCTTTTTCGTGTATTTTAATGGAAGAAGTGTTCTAGGTTAACTACTGGTTTTAGGTACATTTCTATGCACACTTTAAGACTACAGTGTAAGCATGGATGATGCATGTATTTTTATGGCATACTAACTTAGTTTTATTTCCTTTATCAGAAAATATAGTCCAGGACTTGTAGGGTGCATCCAGACGAGCGTGCATGTACCTCTTGCAGTGTCTCAAACCCCTTTGAGGTGCTGCAAGAGGCACGTGTGTGAACAAAAAACGTTCCCCGCACTGCAAACTTAGGTCAAACAATACTCCAGAGAAAAAAATGGGGTCAGGGCATGGTCCGGGATTGTGCCCTGAGGTAACCAGAGGCTCGGTCCTCCACAGAGACACTCTGGTAGCCTGCCAGAGCGTCTCTGTGGTTGGCCCTTTCCCCGGTGCTGAAGCATATTGACTGCTCATGTGGGACAGGCAGCGGTGCAAGCTGCAGGGAACTAGACCCGGCTTCGTGCCAGGTAAGTAGGGGGTTGGGAGGTTGGAGAAGGGGGGAGGGGACCATAGGGAAGGCCCCTCTCAGCCCCAGCCCCTGTTGGTTTCCCCAAATCCCTGTTTGTCCCCCCCATCCCCACCCCGTTCGTCCCCCCAGTTCCCCGCTTGCTCTCCCAGCCCCCGCCCCACTCACCGGCAGTAGCAAAGAATGAGCAGGAGGCTGGAGAGAGCAGGGGAACATCTCCAGCTCATCTCTAGGGGCTTGTCTCCAGCCCCCTGCTCATTCTCCTGCTTGTTTCCAGCTTCCCAAGGCTGGAGATGAGCAGGGGTATGAGCAGGAGGCTGGAGACAAGTGGGGGGGGGGGAG